GAACCTCATACAATTGGCCTCGTCCCATCGATCCAGCCTGTCCAGGTCCCTCTGTAGGGCCTTTCTACCCTCCAGCAGATCAACACTCCCACCCAACTTGGTGTCATCTGCAAACTTACTGAGGGTGCACTTGATCCCCTTGTCCAGATCATTAATAAAGATATTAAACAGGACCGGGCCCAATACTGAGCCCTGTGGAACACCACTTGTGACTGGCCGCCAACTGGATTTTACCATAACTCTTTGGGCCCGGCCATCCAGACAGTCTTTTACCTAGCTGAGAGTACACCCATCCAAGCCATGAGCAGCCAGTTTCTCCAGGAGAATGCTGTGGGAAACGGTGTCAAAGGCTTTACTAAAGTCCAGGTAGGCAACATTCACAGCCTTTCCCTCACCCGCTAAGCACTAACACCAGATCTCTCTGTTGCTATTGCCCACAAATACTTTCTGTGTTGTTACATCCTCATATTACATTTTCCTTTTTCTTGCCTGTTCACTGATGACTCTTAGACCTGTGATCAACCGTTATAATTTGATCAAGTTTTGGAATATAGCAAAAAAAATTCTATCATCTCTAAGTAATCTCTAACCTTGCCTTTTTATTTAGTCCATCACATCATCAAGTTCTTTATGTACAATATAACAATTCTATGCTGATCAGTCTTTCCATCTTTGGTCATTTCTGGTGTTTTTATTTAAGATCACTAATGAGATTATTTGCCTCTGTAGTACCAAACAGAGAAAAATGACGGCAGAAACTATATTCACAAATAACTCTGAGCCCTGTCTTGTCACTACTATATAGAGAGGTTTTACTTCCATCATAAAGGGAGGGGTGATGTGGAATGTGCAATCAATTATTCATTTAACACTTCTTGTGGAGAAAATCACATTTAAGTCTAGAGCAATGGTTTTCATTGCAGACACTCTTTTCAAGGGAGGCATTGATCTCCAAACAGAACATTTAACCCTGCCAACAGTAGACTTGATTTTCTTAACTACTTCTCATGGACTGTTAGGAACAATTTGTGGGTTCTCCGGGGTTCACTGACTGTACATTGAAAATCACTCCTCTTGCAAATGCTTCCAGAGAGCATGATCAGCCAAACTGTCTGTGGCAGGGATCAAAACAGAAGAATAAAAAGCGGCAGAACAAGTACACAGGGTCAGTAAAAAGCAAAAGAAACAGGACAGAGTCAAACCATCAAAAATGCAGGCATACAAACTGGAGAAAGTAACAAAAAAGATATGAACAGTTGTGCTGTGGTATCACAACTATTCCAAGGAGAAACAGGATGCATGATACGGTGGAGTTGGAGGATGCAGGCATGCCCAGGGGAAGTTGTTCTGAAGCCATTTTGTTTTTCTGAAATTCACATATTAGCACTTGCACTTATTACTTGCTTTTGCATTAGGCTCTGGGCTCTGCCCTGTCTGAAAATGTTGCTCTTTTTTCTTTATGATTTCAGCTGAGAAGCATTAATCTTAAATTAGCTGCAAGTGTGTCCTGCTTTTATGATCTGAAAGTAAGAAATCCTTAACATTGAAAAGTCAAACAGTGCTTCACTGGAAAAAACAAAATTCTGTCTCCTACTGCACAACAAACGCTAGGGCCGCACACACTGCCCACTGAGCACATGTCTGAGAGGCAACCAACTGTACTGCTGGGATTACTGACCATGTTTCTTCCTCCAGCCCCAAAACACTGTGTGTGTTACATGACCTATATTTGTGGGCACCCATAATTTTGCTCAGGCACCCAATTTTCATTTGACACTTAAAGAAAGAGTGAGTATCCCCCTGAAGAACAGAGCCTTGGGCCAGGTTACCTTCTTTGTCAGATCTTGTATCCTCACGTGAGGATGTCCCTTGCTCCTGACTCCTCTGGTGATGCTTGTCCTGCTGTGCCTTACTGGTAGCTCTGGGGCTGCAGGCACTGAGTGGTCCCAGGGGTGGTGAGACCTGCAGCAGCTTCAGGGACACCAGCAGCTGCAGCAGCGAGGTCACTGGGGCGACCGCAGCACTGACTGCTTCAAATTACGCTTTAGAGAACACTCTTAGTTCAGGTCCTTTCTGTGGTTATTTGTCATGAAAATGTGGCATCAATTTATATGCAGCGATTAGTTATAATGGGAACGGTACAAGTAGCTGCATGTTTTTTTTCCATTTTTGTGGTGATCATGAGCTGGATCTGTCTATTTTTA